ATTAGATTAAGCATGAAATGTTACTTTGACAACTCCATCCAATGCTGGCAAAAACATGCATGTATATTCCTGGTGAAAAGTAAGAAAAAAGGAATGTTTCCCTTTGGTCATTCATTTATGTGTTCATTCACTCAACAAATACTTGTTGAATGCCTGCAGTGAAATGGACTGTTTTTAGGCCAAGGATGTGAAATCAGCCAGGCACAGCAGCCACCTGAACCTCCTAAGCAAGATTGTTGGAAAGAAGCAAGATGATAATATGTTGTGTAAATTGATTAGGAGTTCTGTCTCCTTATCCATTTCCATGCAACCATCCATATTTCACAATTCAGGGTTCTTCCTGGGATTTTCGTCTTGTCTTTTTCTTGTTTTCAGCTCCAGTGTTCCTTAAGGACCATTTATTTTCCCTCTACCTGATTACCTGCGCTTCCTTTCCACACTTTTCTCCTTGTACATGGTCACTGCCAGAGGTAGATTTCCCAGGTAGCTGATGAAACTTACACATTTTTGCCCTTACCACTGTAGGTCCCTTCTGGTTTTCATTTAGAATAAATTACCAGTTTCATACTAAATTTTTTATTCATAATTTTGCATTTTTTTTTCTCCAAAGAGCACATCTATCCATGGCCGCTGTTAATGATTAATTTGATCATTTTCATTTTGAGGTAGTAGAGGGCATTTCTTGCATAGTTGTTTACACTCCTAGAGACCAGCTTCCTATCCACCAGTGACAGTGGAAAAGACAGTCGGTTTCCTCTAAAGTTATTGCCAATCAGTCAGAGCCAAGTGATTTTAATACCCAAATTGACCAGAAACATTGCTTTCTATCTGCAGTGCCTTCTCAGATGATCCACAGCTAAAATGAAAGTAGATGCAAGTTTGGCTCAGGAATTCCGTGAGCTGATGAGAGGTGTCACTTCCCAGTCTTGAGAACTCAGAGGACATTTTTGTGTGTGTGTGTCTAGCAGTATCCTATGAGTTACTTTCTCTTCTGGGTAACATTTAAATGCTTTTCAATAACTTTTGTCAGGATTTACTCACTCTAATATGCTGCTCACACATTTGTAATATGTGCCCAGTACTTGGAATCTGCAGTGTTATACCTATTATATAACAAAACAGCTCCTAGAAGAGTACAAATTCTAAATGAAATTGTTCAAAACCAATCCATAGTAACAGAATTATTCTTTATTTTATTTTTTTTGGTGGCACGAAGTATAACAGCATCTTAATACAGCCCCTGCTGTTACGTCATTTAAAAAAAAATAGTGTGTATATTACAGCCATAAAATCTCTTTTTCTGTACACCTAGCAATTAAATATTTTGATACACTGTGTTAGTAGTTGAGAGGCGGGAAAAAAACCCTGCTCATTTTTAAGTAGTGTAGTGGTATATTTAACACACTTTGGCCCTTACCCATTATTCATCACCTTCACGCCTTTCTTTTTGAAACTCCTTACATATTTTGTGTGACAGTGTTGGTTTCTGAATTTTTGTCTCACACTGATTTCTCCTTTTCTGTTTCTTTCATTGTGCTCATATTTTCCTGAATGTCTTGTTTTGAAATGGCCTCTGTTGAGTTGTTCATCCCTTTTGGGCTCTTAAGCACATACTCCCTGTTTCTCATTCAAGAATTTCAGCTTTTCCTTATGAGTAGAAAGCTCTCAGTTCTCTAATTTAAATCTTTATTTCTTTCTCTCAAATTCCTGTCCCATAGCTTATCTGCTCCTAGATATCTTGACTGTCTTATTCTCATCGTAGGTTTACCACATCCAAAAAGCTGCCTTGCCTTCCAAAAGCTTCTCTTCCTCAGTTTCTTGACTCTGTTCTTGGATCTACTGTCCTTTCCATCATTTACACACATCCTTTTCCTTCATCTTCTATACCTGGTCCCCAGATTCTTCTAATTCCTTCTTTGGGCTATCCCTCTTCTCTATTTCTAATATTCCCTCACTCCCAGGATAGACCCTTGACCTCTTAAACCCACATGGTTATGACCATCTTCTCAGTGACCACTCTTGACTTTGGCCTGTCCCTTCATGTGCATCCTGCAATGTTCTCACAGACTTAATTTTTTTTTCTTAAATTACTCCAGACCTCTGCTGAGGACCTTCAGTGGTCTCCTCTTAGTAGCCTCTCAAGCTACTACACCCTACCCCCCCCCCCCCGCAAACACATACACACACATACACCCAATTAATTATCTAACCTCATTTTTTGGACAAGTAGCATTTCCCAATATTCACCAATAAGGACCCAGGCTTAAGTCACAATGTTCTCTTATCTTCACTCACACACCATGTTTATACTTTTTACCTTCATTTCTTCCTTGCTACTGTTTTTCCTAATATGAGAGTGCTTCTCTCTGATCATTTACATCCTGTCTATTCTTTAATACCTGGTTGAAGATCTTTTTCTTGATAACTCTGGCTTTCTTTGATTTTTCTGTCCTCTTGTAGTGCTTGCAACCTATACCTCACAATTCACACTTAGTATTTTCTTTTTTTTTAAATATTTTTTTTTGTGTTGTTGAGAATATACACAACAAAACGTACACCAATTCAACAGTTTCTGCATGTAGTTATGTGACATGGATTACATTCTTTGAATTGTGCAACCATTCTCACTCTCCTTTTTCAAACTGTCCTCCTCCATTAACATAAACTTACTGCCTCCTAAGTTTCTATTTTCTGACATAATTTCAAGTATAGTGGTTCAATACCTGACTTTAGTTGCTAGTTCTTACTTATGGACTGATGCAGTGTAACAAAGGACAGAAAAGCAGCTGCATGAGATTTAAAATTTTGCCTTTAACTAAGACTTCCTGAAATGGCTTTCAGAGAGAAAAAGAAAGAAAAGAAAAAAAAATGCAGCTCCAGGGGACAATGGGTATTTCTTTGATGGATCTGTTTGGAATTTCAGGGTGTTTGGGTCAAAGGGATTTTAAAAGGCAATCTAGTCCTATCACCACGTCCAGGGAACAGGAATGAATGCTCAAAGCAACTCATTATGCACTGAGACAGCTCTGGTTCCTGCATTGCAGCATTTTGGGAACCTTTATTATATCCTGTGAAATGGCTAAATCACTGGGAAAGAAGTACATACAGATAAATAAGTAATGCTCCTACCTGTTGGGTATCCTTATTCTCTTGGAGGAAGTAATTGATAATTGACATTAATACAGGAAGGTAAATATTAATGGTATGGATATGAACAAAGGGCTGAGACCTTTAGAGATAAGTGAGATTTTAACAAGTAGAGATAAGAGGATGGAAAAAAGAGACATACCAATAGGATATACCAGAGGAACACTGATGCAGAATCATGAGGTGGTGAGCCACACAGGGCAGTGTTTAACTTAAGCCTATAGTAAGAGTTCAGGGAATAAAAATCACTGCCTACTGTGACTCTGGGGACAGGAACCTAGGACCTATTGATATGACCCTCGTGTCCCACATCTGCTCATGATTTTTGTGTCTTTGTGAACTGTGAATAGTCAATGAGTACAGTGAAAACCCCTTAGTCATAACACTGCCTGGTCTAGAGTGAATAGAGAGGGTTTTCATGTTTTGTGAAATTAAATTCCAAGTGTCACATAGAAAGGGTTATTTCCAAATCACATTTAAACAGTGGCACTCCCTGATATTTTTATTCAGAAGCCGAGCTTTATTCACTAGCCACCCAGAACTCAGTGCTGTAAAATCAGCTGGGATTGAATCTTTCTCATCGTCTGAGATTGAAAAGCCATTTTGCAAGAATGACTAATGTTCTGAGTTCCGACAATTGAGTTCACAACATACCACAATTTCCCTTTTTGCTGAAATACATCATCTGTCAGCATCATTTCTGCTAGGACCGTTTTCAGTATTTTAATCAAGAACTTGGCAGCACATATTGTGTGGTTTTGTAGTGATTAAGAAAAACTTACATTGAAAAAAAAAGTCACTTGTTTTTGCTGCCTTAGTTATTCAGGTACTCTGAGGCTCAGGGCAGGTTTTGCATTAATTTTGAAGTTTTTAGGATACTTCTTTGCCTTCATTTTATATTTTTTTTTCCTCACAAATAAACTAAGATATTTTTGCTTTGTCAATGTTTTCATGTTGAACAAAGAATATAATAAATTTATTTGGGTTCCGATTTTTTTGAAATCTTCAAAATAAATGAGCTTTTGGGTTTTGGTGACATTTAATAGGTAATTTTAGCAATTGTTAGCCAATACTAATTTATTTGTACTTATACATAATCTTCAGCTAAAGTATGAAATATATGTAATAATAGATCTAAGTAGAGTATAATTATACGGATTACAGAGACCAATAATTGAGATAAGTGTGGAAGCCTGTCATTGGTAAGTATTGGGTCATATAATCTTGGTGCAGATGTGACATATGCATATTTTAACATATAAAAGTCTTGCCAATGGTTAGATTCAGGTGTACCCAGAAAGACTGAGGTTGTTTTGTACTTTTATATCACATACACAGAATTTTAAGAGTGCCCATCCCTGTGTTATAGAAACTATAGACACCTAACAGCTATTTAAAGAATGTACTTGCATGTATGAGATAGATTTTATGATGACAGTTTCTTTTCAGTGACTCAAAAAACAAAATCCACTACCATCAAGTCGGTTCTGACTCATAGTGACCCCCACTGGGTTGCCAAGGCTGTAAATCTTTGTGGAAGTAGATTGCCTCACATTCCTCCTGTGAAGCAGCTGGTGGGTTTGAACCACTGACCTTTTGGTTAGCAGCCTAATGCCTTATCCACTATGCCACCAGAGCTCTGTTCAGTGATTAGAGCTTGATGAAATGAATCAAAAGATGTTTATATTTTCTAAATGTGAGACTTATTTTTGGGACCATATTTTCCACTTATTGTATTTTATATTATAAAGTATTTTATATTTTTGCCAGTAATTTGAGT